TATTGTAAAACGTATAAAAAAATTTTTTATCAATTGTGTAACCGATCTTCAAATTGATGGGACGGTCGCTCCTGTTTCAGAAGCCCCACTGGCTTATGCATAATTCTGTATCTGTGAGATCAATTTATTCTCGATTTTACTACTAAGCCCAAAATATTTAAATAACGTGGATCGATACTAAAATTCGTATTTGTTAAATGTATTGCAGAAGATCATTGAACCCTAAACTAAATTCGGTTAATTGTTCACATCAAAGCTATCGCTATGATTAGAGTGCATATCGATTCCCCATATACGTACCGGTACGTATTGTATATTACATTCAAATCTGCATATACCATGAGTTCATTAACCAGTTTGGAATACTATAATTATATAAGGTTAAATAAAGCAGGTTTTGGTATGCGGTTAGAAACAAATATACTTCAATAAGTGGCTTTTCGATATATTCTTAAAATGGGGGTTTGACTTTTTTTTTTTTCATAACCTGAGTAATTAAGCACGTTCTCGGACAAAATTTATGAAATATTCCCAGCGAAAAAGGAGTGATGACAGTTCAGAATAAAAGAGATGCAAAAAAATATGTCTATCTTCAAAGTTTTAAATATTTTAAAATGTCTTCATTCGAGTCTGTCGCTGTTTCGGTTCTTATCGAACAAACCAGTTATATAAAGGGGTTAATCTTGGAGTTAGATGTTGTTGAGTTTTTATTAAGTATCGGTCAAGAAGAAGTCATTCATAGGGGGTGAGTGTTTTTTTCACAAAGTATTTGTTGAGTTATCATATATCCGAAGTTACGCTGCCCCATCGGTGTAAAATGTCTGAGAAAAATTGAAAGCTCTTCGTGGCCTATGTTTCGACATAGAACGTTCTTTTTCTCAGTTACTTGGTGTTCCTGCGGTCGTCTATCTTACACGGGGAATTAATGGGTGAATAGGATATATGCTAGCTAATGAGCACGTTACCGTAGACTATTCCGGCCGTGCAATATTTAGTTGTTAATAACGATGATGCATGTGCTTACATATTATTATTTTATAGACGAAGAGGAGATGGTGGTGTTGACGTTGAAACTAAAATTAGAAGAAAAAAAATATTCATCCAATGTAAAAATTGGCATAATCGTATAGGTAAATTATTATATAAAAATATATATTACAAAATATTTATTTTTATTTATCAATTAATTACAGGTCCAGATGTTGTTAGGTCGTTAAGGGGAGTTATGTGTTTAGAGGACGAGGGCGAAGTTATAGGTGTTATAGTTGGAAATTCATTTACAGATGGTGCTGTTGAGGAGGCCAAAATGTCCGATTCCTACCCTATTATTTTAACCACCAAAAACCGTCTACCCACAACCTTTCTTAACCATACTCTCGACGTTATTACAGACAACCCTATTAGATTTTCCTTTTATAACGACTTCATTCTTAATCATTAATTTCGTTTTTAACTATCGTCATTCCTTTTAAATTTTTCCGAATTTCTTTTTACCGACTTCATTCTTAATCATTAATTTCGTTTTTAACTATCGTCATTCCTTTTAAATTTTTCCGAATTTCTTTTTAACTGACTTCAAATATATATCCATTAATTTCGCTTTAACTATCGTCATTCCTTTTTTTGAAAAATTTCTCTATGCGGTTATAGTTGACGTAGAATTACTGAATTACGGCATTACGGCATTTTACAGTTGGTAAAATTAAATACGGCACAGTACCTGATTGCCATAAATATTATATACCGTAATGCCGTAATGCCGTAATCATGCGAAATCATAATACAATACTATAGCACTATAATATTCGAGCGCTTTACGAACGTACGTACGTACGTACGTTCGCATCAGATCTGGGCCACAATTCTTTCAGTGGCACATTTATTGTGGCGTATTATATAAGTTCCACATTTAATCAATACATATCGATACGTACCATCGAGAAAGAAAAAAAACCATTTACACAATATTAACCTCAGACAATTAACTGTCTAACTGCATTGACAATATCGACTGTTTTTTAAAATGCTTTTTATATTCTAACTTAGTAAAATAATATAAGAATCATTAATCGTTATTTGATAAATTTCGATAAGTAATCTGCCACTTTACCCACGTAAAATTATTTCCTTTTACCTTATAAAGTTAAAATATTCATTGCTGTTTTCAAAATGGTTGAAATGGCAAATAAAAAACTTTTTTTTGGTGAATATCATAAATACTTGAATATTTTATCTTACGTAGCACATTGATTCCCAATTTTATACGTATATGAAATTTCTGCCTACGTATAAAGTACACACAAACCTAATCCACATAACTATTGTTTTGATAGCATGTAAATCAGAAATCAATCTTCAATCAATGTATTAAGGTAATCGAGTAATCGAGTATTTAAGTATTTTACTAAAAAAAACATTTACCATTTTCAACCATTTTGAAAACAGTAATAATAAATTAATATTAGCATATTAGGTAAAGTTATTCAGATCAAATAAAACTTGATGCGAATTAACTTTTTAACTTTTTATTAATATATTTTTATTTTTTGTCTTACAAAAGATTAAGGTTCAAGTTCTAAATTTTGGTTCTGAACCAAACCAGATTTAACTTGGATTTAGGATTTATATATAATTCTGGTTCTTATGTTTTTAATTTGAACGCTAAAGGTTTTAGAACCTAAACCAAACCTAAACTAACTTTACCATCCCTAGGTAAGTCATTTGAGATCGATCAATGCTAACAAGCCTATTGGCAACAAGAAGATAAAGGGCATTTATTCCCTCTCTTTCTTGCCATCCTTTCTCGCGCGCAGCTCGACTAATCTGGTCCTTAAGATCAGCAAGTGGTATTTCTCCTCCTACGTTACGAACCATTTGTAGAATCATTGCAGCAATAATGGCTTGTTGCGATGGAACCGGTATTGAGACATTCAGATCAATATCGCTTTGATCTAATGTAGATGCGACATAATTGACCAGAGTATTATTGACCTCTCTAATAAATTTTCGAATAATAGTTAAATTTTGTTTTATTAATAATAATGAGATAACATAATGGACTAAATCTCTTACTTGATGACATGATGATTAAATTCCAATGACAACCACCTTTGACGATCATCCAAAATCTGGTCAATTTTCGAAGATAGAGTGGACTATCCATCGAAAAAATAGAAATATCAGGACAAATATAAGTTGAGCAGTTAATTAAAGAAATTTACCAAAATAATTTCGATTCTATCTTTTCCTTCCGAATGAACTTCATTTGTCATCTAAGTATTAATGGCGTACAAACTTCATTAGACATTAAATGGATTATATAGTGTATATTAATAATTCATTGTGTACCATGTCTGCTTTCTTCGATATACTTTGAAATTTAAACTTTAAGTGACCAAAGTCACCAGTGTACATTTGTCGCGACGCAATTTCTTCCAACTCTTCAAGCTGAGTGTCTTATAAAAGCGGTCAATAAATAGAACATCTCAAAATAAGGAAACCAATGAAATTTCATAACAAATTTATGAATTTATGAGATATATCCATATCAAATACCTAATTCCGCAAGGATTTCTTTCTTAAATTCAAGAAGTTGCATCCTCTCCGCTAGTTCATGGCTAACCTAATACATTTGAAATTGCTTTATTGTTCAGATTATTAGATAACAAAACCATTCATAAACATACCACTATATCATCGGAATCATCCATATCATCAAAGTCATCGTCTTCATTTAAAACTAACATTCCCAAACGATGATTTAATTTGACTTCCTCTTCTTCTAGGTGTTTTTGCTCTGCTAATTCTTCATCAAGAGAGTTCACCTATAAAACCAATAATAGTTATGCTTATGCAATCTAATTCGAATACACGAAGCCGATTTACTATTAACCTTCTTTATATACTCCTTTTTTATCATTTCTAATGCAAGGATTTCTTTTTCATGATGCCAAATATCTTCCTCGATCTTTGACATTTGATTGCCTGAAGATGAAGCCTCATCACCCATATTAACTTGATCTAGATTTATTGCTCGTTCAGCAATTTTACATTTTTCTAGATTGATCTTTTGCTATTTTATTTAACTATACGTAAGATATTATTTAAATGAAAATATTTTGCCTTTTTTTTTTAAATAAAAATAAAAAAAAATAAAAAAAGAAAATTTACCTTTTCCATTATGGATTCCAAACTGTCTATTGAAGACGTGATTTCTTCGTGACGTTGCGCCAAGAATTCAATTTGCTCTTTGGCATCCTGAAGATTACTGAACAATTATTTAGGCAAATAACGATGGTCAATACATCATGAGAATCCTTAAATATTGTCATACCATATTTGAGCTAGTACATTAGCAGCTCGTAATATCTTATCGACAGTCACAGGATCGGGTCCGCGTAATGGAGTGGGCTGTTCTAATTCTTCCCTTTTATAGTATAAGTTCAAAATTTATAACTGTTCCCGAATTGTTATAATACCTTATTTTTTGAAAAATTGTTACCGTGGTGTTGTGCCTAGTTCTTCAACGAGTGTAAATAATTTACGTTCATGTGGTGCAGCCTCACGGATGACTTTTCGGTTTGACGAGGGTTTTAATAAAGCAGCTATGCGTGCGTTATTAGTTGAAAAATTTAATGACGCGATTTCCGACGAAGTTTGTACTATTTTCTCTAAGTGTGCAAAACCTTTAAACGACATTGTTTAACAATTTTTTTTTACGAAATAATCTGCGCTTTTTTTGATCTCTTTTTCGCGTGACGTAGCCAATTACAGTATGTAGCAAATAATACTATCCGGCACAAACCGGTCAAACCTCATAGGAAGACATTCATTTGATTGGCTAATTTTTATAGATTTACCCGTGATTATCCGTAGTAATTAACCAATCAAAATTATCATTTAACTCATTTAATCAATTAATCGTAATTTATATAGTTTAAAGTACTTATACA